GTGTAATTTGTGTGCTCTCGATGAACGCAAATCAAATATTATATGATGTAACAGTATTTTTGTCGTTCTGAAAAGTTCTCTCGTCAACAAAGTTCGTTCAATACGCTATCACTATTACACTGAAGCATAGTCAGTATCACTTGTTTGAGACATTTTTTAATACGTATGAATTTTCACGTCTAAAAATTCAATTATTGTTTATTCGTGTTCCACATTTATAAAAACGTCACAAGGCCTTCTTTGGCCATACGGAAGACCGTCATTCCCCAGCACTCTAACGATTAACATCATCGCCACACGCGTTTCCTCTGCGATAATTTTTTAACTTGATAAAATCATATCAGAAGGAATCAAAAACTGATTCAGTGAAGTAGAAATTTATTGTTAGTATTATCGAAGTGATCACTTTCTTGTGATCGGAACAACATCATGAAAAGAGTTATTGAATAATTTTGAGAAGTACACCAACCGAAATCAGCCAACACCTGTTTGTCAACCTCTTCAATTCCTATTCGATATCCTCAAATTTCCTCTGAGTGGTGCACTTTATCGCTTTAAAAACCATTGCGTTGGACGACGATCTCATGCAGATTGACTTCTTGAATTCGTTGCGTCAATGTCGAGAGCGTGAATACGAGCTATTGTTCGTAAAATAGACCAGTTGACTGCTTCAGGATTTGGGGTTAACCGAAGCAGAAAAACAAAAGGGTTGGCGATGGAGCTGGATGAATTGCGCGCCGAGATCGCGCGGTTGTCATCGGCGCTAGAAGAGGCATCCGCAGCTAACATAAAGGTTCCTTTTGAAAATACCGAACTTGAAGTTTTGTTGCGTTGGTCAAAATGACAGGTGGTCGTGTATCGTTGAAACTACTAGCAAGATATGATAATCTAGCAGAGTGTTTACAGGCGGGGGAATACGGTTTACAGATACTCGATGAAAAGCAACAGTTGGAAGTGAAATTGGTTCAGCTGCAAGCACAGTATGACGCAGCAAAAGCCGAAGTTGACGCCACAAAAAAGGTGGGTGCATGCCCTGAATATTATTTCAAGCTGTACATAAATAGTCAGTAATCGTTCGGATGTGCGTAATTAATGAATGACCTTTTTCGTACAAGCTGGCCTCTTATGACGGAGATGCTTGTTCTCGTGAATAGTTTCATCGTTGCATATGATCGCCTTCTTTGATTCTGTCACCAATTAATCAGCTATTACTGTTTAGGCATTGGCACAGTTTCAATCACAGCAAAAATCAGTTGTAAAATCAGAAATCGATCATGAAGAAAGTCTTCTGGAAGAGACTATGAATAGGGAACAAGAATACGTGTCACGAATTGCATCATTGGAGTTTGAACTGAAAAGCACACAACAGGTTCGCTCGTATTTCCGTTCATTTTTGATCAGTTCAAACATGAAACTTGCATTCAGTAATATATTTTACGTAAGCGTTTTTTTTGGAAAATTGCACAAAATTTTTGACGCAAAAATTTTGATACACAAGATTAATACAAAAATTTTTTGTATTAATCTGTTGTGAATTCAGGAAAAAATTCACATAATTGAATTGACAGGAACTGGAGAGGTACCGATCCGACTTGGATCGGCTTCAAACACTTCACACAAGTGCCTCAGAAACAGCGCTTGACCTTGATACACAGAAAAAACATTTGAAAGAGGAGCTGAGAGAGTTGAAGCTTCGTGAGCAAAGGCTACTCAACGATTACTCGGAGCTCGAGGAAGAAAATATCGGCCTCCAGAAACAGGTGAATTTTCCACGATACAATACATTATTATAGCTGGTCAAGACATGTTGCAATGCTGAGCGATTGATCAATTAGATCGTGATTTTTTGCGGTGTTACGTTCTCAACTCAAAATCGCAGATGAATGCTGTCATGCCATAAATGTGATGATTTCCACCTCCATCAGTTTCTACGCTTCACTATGATAATCATCTACTTTTTGTTTTCGCATTCTGGCTTATTGCAAAATCTTCCGCTTGTGAAGCGGAGTCGTATATCAGCAATGCAAACAATTTCTTTGCTAA